CGGGTATCTTCGCCCATTCTTCATGGGCAAAGGCCTCCAGTTCAGTCACACATTCTTAGGCTTGCGCACTGCAACTGCTTTCTTTAAGTCCCACCAGAGGTTCTCAATCGGATTTAAGTCTGGTGACTGACTGCGATGGCCACTCCAAAATGTTCCAGCCTTTCCTCTGCAACCATGCTCTAGTGGACTTGGAGGTATGCTTGGGATCATTGTCCTGTTGAAAGGTCCAACGTCTCCCAAGCCTCAGGTGTGTGACGGACTGCATCACGTTTCCATCCAATATCTCCTGGTACTGAAGAGAATTCATGGTACCTTGCACACGCTGAAGCTTCCCTGTACCTGCAGAAGCAAAAACAGCCCCAAAGCATGATTGACCCTCCACCATGCTTCACAGTAGGCAAGGTGTTCTTTTCATCATAGGCCTTGTTCTTCCTCCTCCAAACATAGCGTTGATCCATGGGCCCAAACAGTTCTAATTTTGTTTCATCAGTCCACAGAACACTATCCCACAACTTTTGTGGTTTGTCCACATGGCTTTTGGCATACTGCAGTCGACTCTTCTTATTCTTTGGAGACAGCAAGGGGGTACGCCTGGGAGTTCTGGCACGGAGGCCTTCATTACGCAGTGTGCGTCTTATTGTCTGGGCTGAAACTTCTGTACCCACATCTGACAAATCTTTTCTCAGTTCCTCAGCAGTCACACGGGGACTTCTCTCCACTCTACGCTTCAGGTAGCGCACAGCAGTCGAAGTCAGCATCTTCTTTCTGCCACGACCAGGTAGCGTTTCAACAGTGCCCTTTGCCTTGAATTTGCGAATGATGCTTCCTAAGGTGTCTCTTGGTATGTTTAACATCTTTGCAATCTTCTTATAGCCATTGCCCTTCCTGTGAAGAGAAATCACCTCTTCTCTTGTCTTCCTGGACCATTCTCTTGCCTTCACCATGTTTGTAACCACACCAGTAAATGTCTAGAAGGAGCTGAGTATCACAGTCATTTTAAAGCTGCCTAATTGGTGCTTATTATGCTTGATTGCTGCTCGGTGACATCCACAGGTGTTTTCAATACCTGATGGAAAGCACCTGTATGAACCTCTGTTCTTCAGAGTGGTAGTCTTTAAGGGGTTGAATAATTGTGGCAATGAAGAAACCACATAAGTTACTACTGTATTATTATTACATAAACAATTGATGTCATTTTAGTTGCATTTGGGTAGTTACAACGTCCTTGTAGGATTTGATTCTGAATACAATTCCAAATGTACACTATAGTCCCTAAACCCCTTTACAGCATTGGGGGTTGAATAATTTTGGACACAACTGTATAAGTGCCCTGTAGGCTAGTGGTTAACGTGAGAGTCAAAATGAATACTGTCGTACCAGTTGGTATTGTCAGTACTCCGATTTATGAGCGCTTTACTCTTACGGTAATTATGTTTTCATGACTTGCAGCATACCATTTCTAACTCTTTGTTGTACATTTCCACATTGTATTGCTGTTTACTTGAGAACCTGACCTGGCTGCACAATTTCTGTTGAAATTCCTGTTACTGGGAGGCTCTGTTGCCTCTACATAACTTGTTTGTTAATGTTCTCTTGTGGTGGATGGCTTTGGCCTGTGAGTACTGTAATACTTGTATGTGCAAAATATATTTAAAATTCCTTGAAACAAAATTAATACTGTACTTGATATGAACAGTTTATTTTTTCATTGCTTAGGATTTCACTTGGAAAAGGTCAGATTACGAATCCGTTATGGTTACTACCTTTTAATTCAATTCTAAATGGTTTTAAGCTACTGCACATGCTGTTTGTAAACCCTAAATCTTTTTTCTATCATATTTGGCAGCATGCCTCAGGGTATACGTTTTCTTGGGTAAATTTTGTTTTTTGTGAATCTTTTCCAAAAGTTATTATCCAAAGTTCCTGCCAGTAACAACACTTTCTGTTGCAGGCTGACCATGCTAAAACTGTGCCTTTGCAGTAGTGTTGTCAAATTTCCATGTGTGCTCAGATCTGATCTGATAGCTCATCAGTCAACTGAAAGAGTGGGCATGGCAGGCTGACAACATTGCACCCCATTGTAAGGCAGTGGCTTAATGCTGTCTGTCTGCAGCATAAAGTGCTGTTGCTAGCAGGATGTCCACTGCAACACCTTGCAGCAGATTTAAATAAATATATAGGTTTACCAACACTCTATACAGTAAGGCATAATGCTGCGCACAGTGCAAAATTTGATTTTGGGTTTAGATTAGTCAAATAGCTTGTTAATTTTCCTTCACCAGCAGGGGAGTCACTTTGCTTATATATATAAACACACACAGTGCTCAGCATATATTAGTACAACCCTTAAGATTTGAATCAATATCTCAATTGAGCACGAGAACAATTTCCAGAATTTTGACAAAACTGAGTTTTATAGAACATTTGTTTAGCTCATTACATGAAAGTAAGGTTAATAATATAACTTAGATTCCAAAATCTCTAGTTTTACTCAAGTTAATTGATGCAAAAATGAATACACCCCACAACAAAAACTACTACATCTAGTATTTTGTATTACCTTCATGATTTGTAAGGCCAGCACCAAGTCTTCTAGGCATGGAATGAACAAGTTGGTGACATATTGCAACATCTATCTTTTTCCATTCTTCAAAAATGACCTCTTTTAGAGCCTGGATGCTGGATGGAGAGGTATGCTCAACTTCCTCCTAGATTGTAAGCTCGAAAGAGCAGGGCCCTCGATCCCCTCATGTTTTGCATTGTATTGGTATTGTTCTGTCACATGTTCTGTCCCCCTTTGTAATGTACAGCGCTGAGCGAACTAACGGCACTTTATAAATACTGTATAATAATAATAATAATAACTTGTCTCTTCAGAATTCCCCATAGGTGTTTGATTGGGTTCCTATCAGGATACATACTTGGCCACTGAATCACTTTCTCTCTGTTGTTCTTCAGAAATGCAAGTGGCCATAGATGTGTGTTTTGGCTTATTGTCATATTGGAGAAGTGCACAGCGACCAAAGGCACAGAGGGATGGTAACATCTTCTTTCAATATAGAGCAGTAACTCTGTGAATTCATGATACCATCAATGAAATGCAGGTCCCCGACATCCGCAGCACTCATGCAGCCCCACAGAAGGACACTGCCAAAACCATGTTTCACTGTAGGCACCATGCATTTTTCATTGTACTCCACTGCGACACCTTACAGTTTTGAAGCCATCCATTTAAAAAACATTTATCTTGGTCTCATAACTTAACTCCAGAGTACAGAGTTTCAGTAGTCTTCTTTTTTTCAACATGGGCCCTGGCAAATTCTAGGTGGACTTTTTTGTGCATGGGCTTTAGGAGAGGCTTCCTTTGTGGATGCTACCCATGCATATCATTCCTCTGCAGTGTATGCCATACTGTGTCACAGGAAACTATCCCCCCAGTTTGGCTTTCTACTTTTTTAGCTAACTGCAATGAACTTTCATGGCGATTTTCTTCAAACCTTCTTATCAGAAGATGCTCCTATCGAGGTGTTAACTTCCATGGACAGCCTAGATGTCTCTGTGAGATGGTTACAGTTCCATCTTTCTTAAATATTTGTATCACTTTTTCTTCAGTATTCTTACTGACAAGTATAGCTTTGCTGATCTTCTTGTAGCCTTCACCTTTCTTGTTTAAAGAAATTTTCTTCCTCAGGCCTTGAGACATTTTTCTTCCATGTGGTGCCATTCCTGACAGCATAAAATGGGAAGGGGGTTTTCTGTGTTAAGTAATGCCCTTTTATAATCCACTGTCTGCTAGACACCTGTTTAATTATTAATTAGACTCATCTGTAGTTGATTTCTTGTTAATTAGGATAAAATTTAGCTTTGCTCCTAAGACTTTCATTGGGGTGTATTCATTTTTGCAACATGGTCTCGATTGAATTTGTTAGGAAAAATACTTTGTGTGTGCAAATTAACAAATTTTGTTTGCAATCAATGACCCACATTTGTGGGAGTATTTTGTAGTATATTGTTCCATGGAAAATGTTGATTCTGAAAGGAAAGTAAAGGTTTTCTGACAAATCTGTTGGGGTGTACTCATTTATGCTGAGCACTGTATATAAATGTTGCAGTTTTCAAGTGGTTTACCAGGGTTACTCATTTATACTGAGCAGTGTGTGTGTACTTTTTTTTTTTGCAGCAGCAGCACTTGTCAGCATGCCCAAATCACATTTGGATTATGAAAAAAAAAAATGTTCTAATGATTGTAATATAAAAGCACTGCATTTCCTCATCTCTTACCGAAGGCAGCCTAGGTCACTGACAATCAGTAATTAAGTTAGAGAGACCATTTATCTAGTTTTGAGCTATAAGAAATGCCCCCATATAAATATATACCAACCACACCATCACAGCAAAAAATGAAAAGTGCAGCAAGATCTCCATGGTGCACTTTTATTTTTTGCTGTGATGGTGTGATCGGTTGTGGCCCCCACCTCCTTTTTGACTGGCCCAGTGCCCGCATGCCTATTCTATGCTTGGTTTCTGGGGGATTGGTATTCAGACCTTGAGTGTGATATCTGTTTGAGATTCAGTGGTTGATATACATATGACAAATGCTGTGATGCTTCCGCAGTTTCCCTGATGAAGCAGTTGTGAACTGTGAAACGTTTTGGTGCACCTGTTGGTACAGACCGGCGGGATACACGTTATGCATTTTGTATTGGTTTTAATATTATGTATTACAATGTTTGTAAATATAGTATTGTGGTTATCCCACCATTCTTTTTTTTTTAACAAGTTTCAATAAATTCTGCTTTTTAGAAAATTGTGTTGCTATTTTGAGTACGATGCCCTTAAAGTCCCATGTTTTTTGGTAACTTCCCTTTTTGTTGTTTCTGCTATAATTTGGGATGTGGCATTGTACACCCACTTCCTGAGATATGGTAATATTTTTCGTCTAATTCAAATATATTTGTAAATTAACAGAACCTAAACATTGGTGTTTGTTTATGTTACAGCTTGAATTTACAATGCAAGAAGCTGTGAAATGCCTTCATGCACTTGAAGAATATTGCTCTTCCAAAGATGATTACAGCAAATTGTGTCTTCTGCTAACTCTCCCGAGGCTCACAAACCACGCAGAGTTCAAGGACTGGAATCCAAGCACGGCACGGGTGCATAGTTTTGAAGAAGCTTGTGCTATGGTAGCAGAGTTTATCCCTGCTGATCGCAAACTAAGTGAGGCTGGATTCAAAGCCAGTAATAATCGCTTGTTTCAGCTCATCATGAAGGGCTTGCTCTATGAATGTTGTGTGGAGTTCTGTCAAAGCAAGGCCACAGGTGAAGAGATTACAGAGAGTGAGGTTCTACTTGGAATAGACCTTCTCTGTGGTAATGGATGTGATGATCTGGACTTGAGTCTTTTATCTTGGCTTCAGAACTTGTCTCCTAGTGTGTTCTCTTGTGCCTTTGAACAGAAGACCCTGAATATCCATGTTGACAAGCTTATGAAGCCCAGCAAGGCTGGCTATGCTGATCTTCTTACTCCACTTATCAGCAAGCTTTCCCCTTACCCTTCTTCACCAATGAGACGCCCACAATCTGCTGATGCCTATATGTCTCGCTCATTGAACCCAGCCTTAGATGGACTGACATGTGGACTGAGTGGTCATGATAAAAGGTCAGGTGACCCTACAAACAAAACCTCTCCAATGTCACACTCATTTGCTAACTTCCATTATCCTGGAGTACAAAACCTCAGCCGCAGCTTAATGTTGGAGAGCTCAGACTGCCACAGCATCTACGAAGAATCGTCTGAAAGGTATGCAACAACTTTTGGGTGTGTTACAGGGCAGAATTGAAGCAAATACATGATTCAGTTGATGAAATGTTTGATATTTGCATTGAAAGATATTTCTAGAAATCTGCAGGTAAATTTTCTACTGTACATCATCAATCAGTTCCCATATTACCCGTGTTTTGTTTTTAGAATTATGAACCTCCAAAAATGGTAAGAAAATAATCTGTGTGCAAGGAACACTGACATCTATATAATTGGTTTCACTTGTTTATTTTGAGCCACAAGCTTGTATTAACCTTTTGATTATCTATCTTTTTTGTAAGTGAATTACAGAGTGTACCATAATTAATTTACCCTACTTGTTAAATTTACTGGAGTTCTGAAGTCAACTTTCCTTAATTTCTTGTAAAGCCCAGCTTTTTTGATTGTTCTGGGAAAGATTGAGACCTTTGTTAGGTTTTTTTATTGTGGTCTGTGTCCCGTTGGTAAGAGTTGACTCCTGTACTGGTGACCACACAAGGGGATCTCTCCAGTTGAGACACAGACAGCAATCGTAATGGACAGAAATTCTAAGTCCCAAGTTTACTAAAAACTAAATTACTTTATTTGAATCTGAACGATCAAAGAAGCATAGGAGACACAAGTATGTATTCCTTTTATTTTTTGCTGCCAAGCAAGCCTGTCCTTGCGCTTAGTCCTGGCAAATCACATGTTTACCCTAAACTACCATCTGCAACATTAACTATACTATTTTAATAATACAAATGTATTAAAAATATTACACAAAATACACGTTAAATCATATACCAGAAATAATAGATAATTTGCTATAGCAAATGGCAGAACATACAGTTAGGTCCATATATATTTGAACACAGGCACAATTTCATACTTTTGGCTCTTTATGCCATTAGAATAAATTAAAACAAAACAATCCAAATGAATTTGAAGTGCAGACTTTCATCTTTAATTCATGGGGTTGAACATAAATATCAAGTACAAATTTTAGGAACTGCAACCATTTGTATACACGGTCCCTCCATTTTCAGGGGCTCAAAACTAATTGGACAAATTAGTATAATCATAAATAAAATGTTCATTTTTAATAGTTTGTTGACAATCCTCTACTGGCAATGACTGCCTGAAGTCTGGAACCCATGGACATTACCAAAGAGTGGGTTTCTTCCTTTCTGATGGTTTTCCAGGCTCTAACTGCAGCTGTCTTTAGTTGTTCTTTGTGGGTCTTTCTGCCTTTAGTTTTGCCTTCAGCAAGTGAAATGCATGCTTAATTGGGTTGAGATCAGGTGATTGGCTCGGCCATTGCAGAATATTCCACTTCCTTTCCTTCAAAAGCTCCTGAGTTGCTTTTGCAGTGTGTTTTGGATCATTGTCCATCTGTACTGTGAAGCGCCGTCCAATCAACTTTGCTGAATCTGGGCTGACAGTATATCTCTAAACACTGTAGAATTCATCCGGCTGCTTCTGTCTTCTGTCACATCATCAGTAAACGCCAATGACCCAGTGCCACTTTATGCCATGCATGCCCATGCCATCACACTGCCTCCACCATGTTTTACAGATGACGTTCTGTGCTTTGGATCATGAGCTTTTCCAAGCCTTCTCCACACTTTTTTCTTCCCATCATCCTGGTATAGATTAATCTTTGTTTCATCTGTCCAAAGATTGCTTTTCCAGAACTGGTCTGGCTTTTTTAGATTTTTTTTTTTTCAAAGTGTAATCTGGCTTTTCTATTCTTCAGGCTTATGAATGGTTTGAACCTTGTGGTGAACCCTCTGTATTTGCACTCGTGAAGTCTTCTCTTGATTGTAGACTTTGACAATGATATGCCCACCTCCTGGAGAGTGTCCTTCACTTGTCTGGATGTTCTCAATGGGTTTTTCTTGATCATAGAGAGGATCCTGCGATCATCCACCACTGTTGTCTTCTGTGGCCGTCTGTACCTTTTTATGTTGCTGAGCTCACCAGTGCGTTCTTCTTTCCTCAGAATGTACCAAACTGTTGATTTGGCCACTGCTAATGTTGCTGATATCTCTCTGGTGGATTTGTTTCATTTTTGAAGCCTAACAATGGCCTGTTTTCACTTGCATGGACAGCTCCTTTGCATTTGGAATCTATTGTTGTGAACCTACATCATGCCTTCAAATACCACACTTAGAATCAACTCCAGACCTTTTATCTGCTTAATTGATGAAGAAATAACAAAGGAGTAGCCCACACCTGGCCATGATACAGCTTTGGATTCAATTGTCCAATTACTTTTGGTCCCTTGAAAAAGGGGGGGATGGTTAATCTTAAGAGCTGTAATTCCTAAACCCTTCCTCCAATTTGGATGTACATACCCTCAATTTAAACCTGAGATTGTGCACTTTCAGCCCATATCCAATATATAACTATAACTTGAATATATTTTGGTAAATACCTGAAAAAAACTAAAATTGTGCCTGTGTCCAAATATATATGGACCTAACTGTATAGGTGCAAACAGTCTGCAGAAACAAACATTGAATATGGCCATTAAACTGAACTCCAAAAGCTTGATTTAAAACTGGTGTCTGAAGCATAAAGCACTGCTGAGAAATTGATTTGGCAGTACTGGCCTGCACCAGGTATATGGTAGATAATTTCTGCTATATAGGGTACAAAGGACAGGATATTTGAGATGCAAAGTTTCACAAGGAAAACTGAAGTTTGGTCATTCTGTTAACGCACAGTACCACATATTTCACCAGCAACTTTCAGTCAGTGAAAATAATTTTTGCATCCAATTGAATTTAACTCCTTGATCCCTGAAATAAGTGTAATTCTTAAATTGCATTTATGCAGATATTTATTTGTAAAATATTTTGAAAACCATTTATCATTTTCCTTCCACTTCACAATCGTGCCAATTTGTGTTGGTCTATCACATAAAATCCCAATAAAATACATTTAGTTTTTTGGTTGTACTATGACAAAATGTGGAAAATTTCAAGGGGTATGAATACTTTTTCAAGGCACTGTAGGTTTTATGCTCTGTGACCACTAATTGGTACAAAGGAAAATGAGCAGTTTTTCTTTAATCTGTGCTTACTATTGCAAAATGCAAGTCAATCTTAGATCTATTTGTTCAGTATATTTAGCATTATGCCTGCATACAGTTTTCTTAAACCATGTTTTGTGAATCTGTTGGAAAGATTCTTTGATGCTGCCAGTAATAGCACATGCAGTAATAGTTGCATGCTGACGACACTATGCCACTGCCTCACAACTAGCAGCAGTCTTGTCAATGTATAAAAATATATAATCCCCCTGCGCTCCACTGGTATGAACAAACACAACCCCAAATATATGCAAGCTGCTACCACCTATTCCCAATACCACAGGATGTATGACATAAAAAAACAAATATTGGTGAAGCGCTTCACATGAAAAACTAAATAAGTAGGTGCAATGATATAAAAATACATATAAAGTGACCACACTGTATTGAAAGGTATTGATAATTAATGCTAAATGATCCCCCAAAAAAATATATAAGTGCCAAGTGCTGAAAGTGCAAAACAGGTCATGCGTTTGCTGACTAGATCGTGCCAAAATAAAATATATGCACAGTAAACATAATACACAATAACATTACACACTCTAACTGAAAGTGGAAAGTGCTCAGTATGGGTATGAATATAGGTTAAAAGTAAAATCCACAATAAAGTGCAAAACAGGTCATGTGTTTGCTGACTAGACCATGCTAAAATGCAATATATGCACAGTATACATAATACACAATAACATTGCACACTCTAACTGAAAGTAACAGCATCACGTAAGTGTGAAAGTTTATTAGCTCTCATAAAATCAAAGACCATATGCACTCAGTGTGTTTAAAAAGCATCATGTAGAATAAATAGAATCTGGGTGCCATTTTACCTATTTATTCTGATGTCTGTAAGTGTTAGGCAGGCTTGAGAAAGGGGTAGGAATGGCCCAAAACATGTTGCCATAACCTCTCTGACATCCTCATGCCATTTGGTGCCCTGCTTCCATCATAACGATCTCCATGCCGTCCACAGTGACCCTTCTGGTTCCTGGCAGGAAGCTATCTACATGAGGAAGTGCCTGGGCTGGGGAAAGGCTGCCATCTAATGGCTTTACATTACTTGCCACTTTTTGGATCACACACTGTGAATGCATAATCTTTGTTTTTATGACAGCTAATAAACTATTACACTTAGTCAGTGGTGCTGTTTTCCTTTCTCTTGTCTTTTACATACAGTGAGGAACAGAAGTATTTGAACATCCTGCGATTTTGCAAGTTCTCCCACTTAGAAATCATGGAGGGGTCTGAAATTCCCACTCTGAGAGACAGAATTAAAAAAAAAAAACAATTCAGGAAATCACATTGTATGATTTTTAAAGAATTTTTGTCTTGCACTGCTGAACATAAGTATTTGAACACCTAAGAAAATCAGTGTTAATATTTGGTACAGAAGCCTTTGTTTGCAATTACAGAAGTCAAACGTTTCCTGTAGTTCTTGACCAGGTTTGCACCAGGGTGGATTTGATTTAAATCACAATTTAAATCACTAGTCGGTAAGGCTTGATTTAAATCCTAGTTTTCTACATAAAGACTAATTCTTGCTGATATAACTTTAATATGCAAATAGATGAAGATTTTTAGAATAACTTTTCATATTAGTTTTTTTTATTCCCAGTTTAATAGGTTAATCATTCATATTTGGACAACTTTTCTGTTGTACTTAGGAAGGAGAAAAATAATCATTACCTTAATAATAACAATTTAAATAGATTTATTCAACTGAAACAATAACATTCCAGCATATGTTATTTGCTTAAACAAACATCCATGTTTGTTAACTAATTTGGCAAAACAAAATATATATATTTTAAGAAACTTAGACTGTCAGCCCCTTCCTCCTCACACTTAGTTTCTTCTTGTGCAGATCTATTCCACTCCAAACAATCAGAAAAATTTTGTTTCTATTCTATTCACTGAACTTCTTGAA